GAATGCCTGTGACTGTGAAAGTTAGCTTGTGTTTTCCAGGGACATTCTGGCTAATTGCAGCACTTTGATTTGTTACGTGATGGGGTGAGAGGAAAAGGAATGTGGTCTGGGATTGATTGTTTTTCTGGAACTGTGTATTAGTGAAGTATCAATGACTTCCCTGCAGTAGGTAAATATTTTTTCTTCTTGTGCAGCTGCTTGCCAACGCTGTCATTTTCCTCTGTGGTAACTTGATGGGTGCATTTCACAAACGCCAAATGCAAGTTGCTTCGTGGGATCTGTACAGATACACACTGAAGTGCATTCAGGTCCGAATGAAGCTGAAGATTGAGAAGAGGCAACAAGTGAGTGAGCTAATTCATGTTATGAATTGCTTGTTTTCATTCCCAAAGTTTGTGTGGCTTGATAAGGTTGGTGACTAATGCATGCTGAAAGGCTGGGTCCAACCTCTGTGATACCCACCTAGTGTCAGAAAGAAAAGTTGTGCCATTTCTAACAAAAGAAGGAAGTTGAAGCGAGGAAACTGTGCTCTGGGGCTTGTCTGTATGAAAATCACAGTGTTTGTAACAGGAATGTAATTGCCATTCACTTCATTTTTTTCCTAGTACCAACAGTTCCTGGTACTGGCCCAAGGTAATGTAAAAAAACATGCCTTTAATGCCCTGAAATTCCTTGGAAGGCAGTTTCAGCAGTTAGTTAAATGCTTCCCTCAGCTGACTTTTTTTTTTTGGTTTGAATTCTAGAGTATTATTTGTTCGTCAGCAGTTAGTTAAATGCTTCCCTCAGTTGACTTTTTTTTTTTTGTTTGAATTCTAGAGTATTATTTGTTCATATATTATTTTTTGTCTTGCAAACTGTTTTTCTTCTGCTACAAGGAGAAAATTGGACCCTAAAGGAGGAAAAAAAATAATCATATAATAGATTACAGTATTTGAGAATAACATCATTTATTTCCAGAATCTCCAGTGGTATTTAAAGAGTAAGCAAGGAACATGAATTTCTTACTGAGGAAGGATTGTAGAGACACATCAGAGCTGAAGCCTTTCCTCTTTTACCCTGGTGTAGGTAGGGTTAAGAGCAGCAGCCCTAGAAGGCTGATGGGTACCATGTTCTCTGCCCACCAGTTATGAGATAAAAGGAAAGGGCTGGAAAGTGACTGACCTGACCAAATTGAAAAGAAGAAAATGCCACACTGCTAGTGCAGTCTGTTCTCTGATGCTAATCTTGTGAGATGAGATGACAAATCTGCATGAATGTCCTGGCAGAATTTCCCCACGAAGCAACCAGGGAAGCATCTGATCACCTTTTGCAGGCAGTGTGCTCTCATTTCTTGGGCAATGTGGTAACTTCCATGGGCGTTTGGTTCTGGGTTTGTTTTTGTTGTGTGGTTTTGTTTGGGTTTTTAAGAATTGCTTGTTTGAAGTGTAAATGTGCTGAAGACTTTCCTTTCATCTGTGTTGCAATTTGTTATGCAATTTTAACTCTCCTTTTTGCCACCCACTTTTTCCTCTGTGAAAAGAGAGCTGCAGTTCAGGGTTCCTCACTCCTTCCTTGAAAACTGCATAGTGTGTCAGCCTCTAATGGTCCCGTTACATTCCCTGGGGCTCTGCTGTCAGTTTAACTTGTTCCCCAAGGTTGGCTCTCCTAGCACTGAAATGGTACATGAAAGGAAGGAGGTGTTTCTGTTTCTGGGGCAGTCTCAAACTAAACTGCTGTCTATACCTTCTGTAGGCCAATATCTGATGCTGAAGGACTATCTCTTCCCACTCTGGTTCCAAGGTATTTCTTTTTGGTGGCAGGCACTGGTTAAGTATCCCTGGCAGCTTTCTGCCATCTATACACTACTGCATCAGGTATTCAGAAAAAGGGACAAAGATTTGCCCCAAAGGGACATGATTTGACTTAGTTACACAATGTGTCGAACTGGTCAATGTCATCTTAAAAAGTTCCTGCTTGTAGCTGCAACATTTCCTTTTCTGTGGGGACTCCATCTCAAGGGTGGTAGAGTCCTTCCTGGGTTAAAGTATTCTCTTTTTGCCTTCCTCTTTTACCCAGCAACTTTCCAGGGTTGTCTTTGAAGAATGGGCTTTTAAATCAAATCCAGTATAAAACAGTGTCCTGAACAGCCAAGCAATGATGTGGGTTCTGAGGAGTTTGTATTTTCACTCAGTTCAAAAGACTTCACTGACATCGGTTCCTTGTTCATATAAGCTGTTGCAGCTTTTCCAGCATTTGAGAATTTACAAGAATTTTTAACACTGGATAGATTTTTAGTTACAGAATATAAGCTTTTACAGGAGTCTTACCAGACAGTGCTAACATACCACTGAGATTTGTGAACAAAATAAAATGTAATTTATCCAGAAATTGTAGTACTGCATACTGATTTTTTTTTTCTGTGTGTGTGTTTCATGCTTATAGAGAGATGTCACATCTAGGTTACAAGGCACAAAAGAAAAAATATACAACATCCTTAGTAATGGTAAAATCAGTAACTTTGAGAACAGAAATGTAAAAGTGTCTTCTGGAAAACCTGATATGAATTACTGAAAAGCTCTTTGAATAAAGGCATTTTTGTTTGGGCTTTTTTTATTTTTTTTTTTATGCCTTCTTGCAGTCACTAAAATTATGCAGTTTTAAATTTGCTGTGTTAATAATTTTGCATAATTATTTCCCCCAACTCTCCTTTTAGGAAAATTTGCTTTTATCCATCCTGCCAGCTCATATCTCTATGGAAATGAAGCTGGCAATCATTGAGCGACTGAAGGAAACTAATGACAATAGGCAAATTCATGACAACAACTTCCACAGTCTGTATGTGAAAAGGCATCAAAATGTTAGGTAAGTGTTAGAAGTCATTGTATTAATTAGGCTGCTGATTCTTAACAGTGAAATTAAAATCTGCTCAGGTTTTCAGGCTGAAGTGAACTGCTTTCCTGTTATGGGAAGATGATAGAATCATAGAATCAGCTTGTTTGGAAGAGACCTCAAAGATCATCAAGTCCAACCCTACTGTGGTTATTAGACCATGGCACTAAGTGCCACATCCAGTTTCAGCTTGAAAACCTCCAGGGATGGTGAATCCACCACCTCCCTGGGCAGCACATTCCAATGCCTGAGCACTCTCTCTGTAAAAAATCTCTTCCTAATATCCAACCTAACCCTCCCCTGGCAGAGCTTGAGTCTGTGCCCTCTTGTCCTGCTGCTGGTTGCCTGGGAGAAGAGACCAACCCCCACCTGACTCCAACCTCCTGTCAGGGAGTTGCAGAGGGTGAGGTCCTCTCCCCTGAGCCTCCTCTTCTCCAGGCTAAAAGATAACATGTCTTGAACTGGTGTGCTGTCTGCTAAACCACTGGAGATACTTGAACCCTTTTCTCTGGGGCTGTTTTCCAAAGAGAGAGATGCTTACTACTAAATGCGTTTTAGTAATTTTGCTGAGTGTGGAATTGACATATCTTCATATTTCACTTATCCTGTTTTTTCCATTTGTTCTTGTCTAGCATTCTTTATGCAGACATCGTAGGATTTACTCGCCTGGCCAGTGACTGCTCTCCTAAGGAACTAGTAGTGATGCTGAATGAACTTTTTGGAAAGTTTGATCAGATTGCAAAGGTAGGTTTACAGTTTGTGGTGAAAGGGTAAAGGCCACCATTGGAAAAAGAAGTCTTTTTTGCATGACAGGAGCCAGCTGGGTGTTAGTGCTTCTGAAGTCAGAAAGGGATGACTGATTTGGCTTTAAAACTGACTAGCAAAATCACATTAAAACAAAATTTCAAACAAAAATGGGGAATTTTAGCAAGTTGTTCCTGTAATACCAATTGCAGTGCGGAGGTTTATCTGTATTGTTCAGGAAATTGTCTGATGGCAATAAGTGATTGTAATAGGCCTGTGGGAGGACTGTACACAAGCTCTATAGAGGAGCTTTTGCTGTGTTCAGCTCTACAAATGGAGAACTCTCAGACACATATTTAAATTCCTAACTTCAGACGTGCTGCATCAGACAAAGAGTTCTTTAGCTCAGGACTGATAATTACTAATGGATACTCCCAGGGAAACGTAAGAATGGGAAGCAGTTTTAAATGGTCCCTCCTAAGACATATCCTCAGTACTGACACTTCAGGCTGGCACTAGCTCTTGCTGCTTCCAAGTACTGCTTGAGGTGATTTTCTATGCAGCTGTAACCACAAACTCAGTTATTTAGTTATCAGATTACAGGGACTGCATCATATACATATTTTCATGTTTGTGTGATAATTTTTATTGTTGTCTGAAACTGACTCTAATCCTGGATATTTGTTCTGTCGTAGCCATTGCTTTTTCTGTTCCTATTATGATGCAGTTATGGCTTTCAGAAAACAAATGATGCATTTTGTTGCATCCTATGTGACATCATAAAAACAAATTCCAACCCCAGTTTTGGTTCTAGAAAGTCAAGTACTGACACATGAGAGTCATACTAACTGTTCCACTTGTGACACAGCAATTAAGACAGAATAAGTCACGTCATCATAGTTGACTCAAGCTTTTAATGCCAAACTACAAGCTGAGGTTAAAAGACATTTGGTCAGTTTTTGTAACTGTTTCTCAGATACAAAAATAGAGAATACTCTAAATTTTGAGTGGTGTGTTTTAATTTCTCACTCCTGTCTGCAAACTGCACTGTTTAAAACATGTCTGGATTCAGTGAGTCAAGGTGTTTTGCAACTCTGTGGTTGAGCCGTGAGAAGAGATTCCTGCTTTTTGTGCTATTTTTGTTCTGCCACAGAGTAGTCTGTCATCTTTTCCATAGTGTAAAAATCTTCTAGGCTCCAATTTACCTAATAAAAATTGGTGGCTCAGCTGGACACTGAGCTGGATACTGAAGTCCAACAGCTCTAATCTAGGGCTTGGTTCCCTGGTGATCTGTCTCAGGTTGTCACTCAGAAACGCTCAGAACCTACTGGAATGGCTTAAAGTGGTGGAGAGTGATGGATATTCCCTTAAGGCTTTGATTGAGGGTAAATTGCTACAGATTTGGGCTGATTTTGGAGTTGATTTAGGAACTGCTGGGCTGGTCCTACAGAGGGTAGGATTGGACAGCTAAAGGTATTAGCTGGCCCAAATTAAGCCATCTCTACTCATTGGTCAAACACTACACAGTCTCACAGAATTAGCCCTGACTTGCTTGTAACCATTGTAGTTAAAATTCTTCAGTAGTGTGTTAATAAAGGACAGTATGAGAAGCTTTTTGCTCTTCCCCTTTCTTTTCTCCAGCCAGTCATGGGCAGCAGTATCAACTGTTGCACAGTTAGGAAAAAAATTTTTGCTGGCATATAGTATTGCAGGTTCTTTTATTAGCAAGAGCAAACTGCAGTATGTGCCAGCTTCCTCTTCAGTCATATTTGAAACAACAAAATTCCGTTTTGCTTCTGCAAAGCTATCAGATTGGTCAACTTAATTCCTAAGTTTTCCCTTAATTCTGTGCAGGTTTTATGCACTGCACACTGTGACTTATGAGGCTGCCTGCAGAAATTGAGGATAAGGTGAACAAACTGCTTATAATTCAGGTGTTAATAAAGATGAAGATTCAAGGGTAGATAAGTAGATATCTTCCTTTTAAATGGTAAAATCTGTGCGAGTTTTGTTTATAGCTTTTCAGTTGCACACAGTTCCAAGGAAGAAGTCTAGAAAGATGGTTTTATTTCAGAAATGCTTCAAGTGGTCATTTGTGTTGCTCTCCAGTGAGCAACGTTCAGGCATTCCGATGGGGGGGAAAAAGAAGGAAGCTTTGCTTCAGCAAGGATTGAACAAAGTCTGACTTTACCAAACCAGTGGGTTTGGTGCCATTAGCCTGCTTGCAGTTCATTTTTTTCCTGTTAAATATGTTTACTGCAATTTCACAGGAGAATGAATGCATGAGAATAAAAATCCTCGGGGACTGTTACTACTGTGTCTCAGGCTTACCTGTGTCCTTACCTGTTCATGCCAGGAACTGTGTGAAAATGGGACTTGACATGTGTGAAGCAATAAAGTAAGTATTACACAGAAGACTTTTTAAGGTGTTGAGTCTGTGAAGATATTGAATAAAGTAATTCTTAGTTTTCTTGTCAACATTCAAAGTGTAATTATTAGTCATAATTGGCTAGTTATGCATTAGGTCATAAGTTTGTCTCCTGCCTTTGCACTAGAATCATAGAATCAACCAGGTTGGAAGAGACCTCAAAGATCATCAAGTCCAACCCTACCCCGTGGTTACTAGACCATGGCACTAAGTGCCACATCCAGTCTCAGCTTGAAAACCTCCAGGGATGGGGAATCCACCACCTCCCTGGGCAGCACATTCCAATGCCTGAGCACTCTCTCCACAAAAAATCTCTGCCTAAGATCCAACCTAACCCTCCCCTGGCAGAGCTTGAGTC